ATGGCTTCACGGTATGTAAGAGCATATTTCAGCCTGTTACGCAGGATAAGAATCAAGGGCGGGCATTCCTTTGATTTATGAGGACCAGATGATGGCTTGGGTGCCAGCACACCAGAACATTCACTACAACAAAATGCACCTTTGGCGACCAAAATTGGCGACTAAAAAAAATTTAGTCGCCAAATGTTGTGGAATTGGCGACTAGCAAAGCTTAATAGTGTGAATTAAGTTTCAGTGGTCCAATTGACAACTGTAGTTCAACTCTCTAACAACTATTATATAATTTAACAATTTCTAATAGTTATGTGATCTACTACTACAATTTAACAATTTTTGTAGTAGTTAAGTAAATCCCAACTTGGTTTCATAATTAATAGTTCAACAGTAAAGGTGATGTCGTATAACTACAGCATTCAGGATTGCAAAAATTCTCTATTTTTTCATGCATCTATTTGAAGCAACTCATTTGGCAACCACAATGTGGGGAAATAGAGGGTGACAGAAAGAGCTTTAACAATCATATGATCCAAATAAATTTGAATAAATAAAAATATACAGGCATGATATATATCATTCAAAAGATTGTTTTGTTCCACATTTGGATCAAAATTTATTGAACACTTCATTGAAAGCCATTGTTGAAGAACCAATACTTCACATTTTCTGATTCAAACTTTATCCTCTTAGCCTTAAATGTCAAAATGAGTTAATATTGTGAGATCCAACACTTCAAATTTAAATTTTTTGCATGAATAATTGAATATGACACATTTGAGTACTCATACCTCTAAAGTCTACGATTTAGTTAAAGAAAAAACATCATGAGAATTCTTTAATGAGGTATGTGGCTTTCCTTTAAACTTTCTCTATTGTGACAAACAAGGACACAACCATTTACTGGTTGATCTCATCAAGATCCAAATATTCAAAGAAGAAAAAAAAAAGAATTATAGCAAGTAATTCTATTGCTGGTAGATCCATTTACAGCTTTGTTAATCTTGCATCAGTAGGACAAAAACTTTATTGATCTCAAACTTTTAACGGGTGTGTACTTCAGAATTGGAAGATTCATAAATCTTAGACTTTTGGCTTTGTTTTGAACTTGGACTCTAAGAATGAAAAATGTAAGCATAAAGGAGCTCATTCCAAACGTCAGGCACTCCAGGAATGCACCAATGTATGCAATCTGCGCGGGTTTTGGGATTCGCTAATTCTTCTTTAGTTAAACGCCCCCATTGCCTCCGGTAAATGGTTGTGTGGGCATCTTTCCGGTACTCTGAAAGTTGTGTTATGTTAAGCATTTGAACTTTCAAACCTCTTCTTTTCAATTTGTCGATTGCAGCTTCCACCTTTTGCATTATTCTTGGGTCTGATTCACTTCCATGATATCCCTCTTTCAAGATTGGCTCGGTTTCATTGTAGCAATTTTCACCCTTATTCTTGCCCCATTCTTCACCCCTGCAATGTTCAATTCATTAACCAAATTTTATTTAAAAAAAAAAAAATCATACTATGATCCTACTTTTAAATTAAACTCATTATACCATACCTTCCGTGAATAGCTGACATGCTAACAAAATAAATTTTCGTCTTGGAACGATTGACATTGATCTCTAACCAATTTGACCATGTCTTTAGAGCCATCTCCAAAGTATGTACCATTTCAACTTCTTTGTAGGTATTGTTTGGGCTTTCAAATGATCCCCATCTAAGCATATTCAAATAATTATTATCAATATGATTGTTTCAAACAAAAAATTTGACTTGTTTGATCAAAATGCTATTAGTTTGTTTACAAAAATGTACTTACAAAACCTTAAATTTTGGCCTTCTCCACCACACGTAAGAATCAAAGACGAGGATATCTGCATCGGTCCAGTGCCTAGCATGCTTTTCGATTGCCTGCACTCTTAAAATTTGCTCCGATGAAAAATGATGGTGCACTGGATGATCTGAGGTTGATTCCACTAGATATGGAGCCCAATAATGGTCAATTGATGCATTGTATTCCTTCAATATTGTATTAAACCAACAATTTAGGACACTTTTGAAATCAAACAGTAATTCCTTGACTTTTAGAAATTAAGGATAGGAGAGAATTGATATTGTATTGAAGTTTAATATTTATTATTGTTTTTTGACTCACATCGATCTCAAAGGTGGTTAAGGACCCCTTTGGGGTCACGGATTTTAGAGTCGGAGCGATTGATGATTCCAGCAAGCAAACCATTGAAGTCCATTGGTTTCTAGTTAATGAGTCCCCAACAAACACAAGCCTCTTATTCCTTAGTCTCTCCAGCATTGCCATGGCATTAAACCTTGTTAACATGTAAAATTTCACAGAACTCAAACACACAAGCATAACATTGTCAATGTGTGTGTGTGTGTGTAAGAGGGAGAAAGAGAGAGAGACCTTGGAAGGTCACATTCATGAGGCTGCCACCTCCAATGCTGGTACTTTAAGTCCATTCGGCCAGACCTCTCGCAAGCCACCCCATTGAACAAGGACATGAATGAGCAATGCTGCTCCTAGTATAAAGGGTAGTTCTTCTCATCATATATCCATTTTCCCGAAAACAAATCGCAGCGCGATACAAGTACTTGTCAGTGTTTCTCTGAGTCTTTTGATCAAACAACCACCTTCTACTTTCTTTGGTCGTAGCAAAAATGCCAAGGACAAACACCACGGCGAGAAGAACAATTAGAGAACTAATGCTGCATCTGATATTTCATGTTTTGGGAACCACTACTTGGCTTGTGCTTGCCATTTAACATAGCTCTGCCTTGAAGTTTGATATTTTGTGTAGCATTCCATTAAACACAAATTATCAGATGACTAAAATACCCTTAAGCTAGATCCTATTCGTCAAAATTTTCATCGGACAATCTCAAGTAATTTTTATCTTTTTGGTGCTTAAAGCCCTTGTAATATTACTCAAAACCCTTGTGCATTTGAATCAATTTTTGTCACGTCCCAAGCTCCGTGACAACGCCGCACACTCATTTAAGTGAGCATGCAAGGCTAAGAGTCTAACACATAACTAACAATGTAAAATATACCAATCAAATCCTTAATTATCATAATACTAAAATCCATAAAAAAAAATTGATTATTCTTATCATATAAAATTATGCACCAAATCCACTAATAAAATCCATTAACAAAACAAATAATCCAAGTACTTAAATCATAGTCCTACTCTCGGCACTCCCATATGTAAAAAAAAAAATCCCGCGCAGCTCTACTCTTCAGAATCTGAAAAAAATAAAATAAGGGTAAGCTAGACAGCCTAGTAAATAACCAACCATCACTGCCAGCTGGATCAAGTATAAAAATAAATAAATAAATCGATAATCAATAAATATAAATTTTTCTACAGTTCAATAAATGAACAATTATTTTGTAAGATGGTTTCATAGCTAAAAATAAACAATGTACAATACATTTTAAATGAAAAGCCAACAAGATAATTCAAAGTAATTCATTGTTCAAATCGATGGTTCGATATTCGAGAAGAACAATTAGAGAACTAATGCTGCATCTGATATTCCATGTTTTGGGAACTACTACTTGGCTTGTGCTTGCCATTTAACATAGCTCTGCCTTGAAGTTTGATATTTTGTGTAGCATTCCATTAAACACAAATTGTCAGATGACTAAAATACCCTTAAGCTAGATCCTATTCATCAAAATTTTCATGGGACAATCTCAAGTAATTTTTATCTTTTTGGTGCTCAAAGCCCTTCTAATATTACTCAAAACCCTTGTGCATTTTTTTTGTTTCCTCATAAGAGAATGTTAGTATTACAAGTGTGTAACGTGTACGAAGAATTAATTGTTTGTAGGTTGAATATGCTATTAATTAAATTACTGAAAAGACTTAATTGAACCTTAATGAGGCTTTTAAGACAGTTTACAACTTAAACTTTAAAGAAGACTTAATTGAGAACTAATGTGAGGCTTAGTTCAAATTTGTAGACATGGTGAAAATTTCCCTCATGCTACAAAATTTGTTCTACCATTGAAACATTGTGCCGCATGATCTCTCACATCCCTTGCTTGTACTAAGGGCTTTATATCACTTGTTTTGTAAATATAATAAACAAAAATAATGAAGAAAACATGCAAGAAATGCAGAAATTATGATATCCAACTTTTAATTCATCACTCACAACTCTCACAAATCGATTCTCTCTTATTTTTTCTCCCTCAATAATATGTATAACCGTAGAGAGATCTAATTTATCTTGCATTTAAAGTAGTTGTTAATTCCTACTCTCAATATTATTAAGTTCAGAAAATTTAATAGATTTGCATTAATAGATTAGAATGACATCACTACAACAAAATACACATTTGGCAATCAAAATTGGCTATTAAAAAAAATTTAATCGCCAAATGTTGTGGAATTGCGACCAAAAAATTTTCTAGTCGGGGCATATTGATTATTGGCGACTAAAAAAAATTTAGTAGCTAAAAATACCAGGATTGGAGACAAAAAAAAAATTGATTCACCGTATATTGAGTTTTAGCTACTAAATCTACCGTTTGGAAAGAAGGTTTCAGGCTTTTTTGGCTATTTTAGTCACAAAAAATAAAATAGCCACAACAAACAAAACATCACATCCAACTCATAATCATTACACTATTCTCTGACCAAAAAAGTCAAAAAAGTCAAAAAGTTCTTCCCAAACCAAGCTTTTTAGCCCAAGCTAAAATAACTAAAAAAGCCAAAAAAAACCAACCCACTTCCCAAACGGAGGGTCGCCGAATGGAAAATAAAAAATTATTTTTTATCTTTGGCACTAGAAGTTTGGTCGCCAAAAAACTAAAATATTTGGAGGGAAACATTTTAAATTTTGGAAGGATTTATAAAATTAATTGGTTTTTAGTGGCCAAATTACTACTTTTAGCGACTAAACAAATATTCAGTCGCCGGTTTGGCTACAAAAAAAACATTTAGTCGCCGGTTGTTATTTTCTATTATTTATTTTCTCCTGTTCCTTATATTTGCCCTAGCCCTTCACGAACACTGATTATTGTCTCTTCCTCACGCGTTGTTGCTCTCTCTTTCTCGGTCTGAATCTCTCAGTCTCGTTTTCTTTCTCCTTCATGTTCTTCTCAATCTCGCAATCCCAATTCTTTCGAACTCGATTGAAGGTACGCTCTCTCTCTCTCTCTCACGTTTCTTTTTCTGTTTCTTGTTGTTTTCGGGTTTGAATCTACACCTAGGGTTTCGATCGATTTCAAGGTACTCTTTCTCGGAAGTTCTTCTGTCTGTTTCTATCTTCCTTTATTTATTCTTATTTTGCGATTTGAATCTGCGCCTAGGGTTTGGATCGACGGATGACACTTGCAATTTCTAGGGTTTTCCATTTTGATTACATCACCAATGGGCGAATTGAGGATAGAAGAGATGTCTCTCCCTGCTCTGTTCGATCAGGCTCGAAAGATTCATCTATCAGCTTCCGAATCTGGCATTGATCAGGTATATATGAATGTATTGATTTAAATATTAGTGTGTGAATCTCTGATTAGAGTGCTTGATATATATTGCTATGGAATCTCTTAATATGGTTGACCCATGAACCAAACAAAATAGGAAGAAAATGGAAATTTCAGTGATATGAAAACCAACCTGATTGGTATATGAATTGCATTTTATATCTTCTACTGTTGAAATTGACAAATTGTATTATGAAAGTAGCATAATATTTGTAGATTATCATTTTATTGACAGTGTTTATATGATCAGGACCTTCTAATCGAGTTCATTTATTTTTCTTACAACACATGCTCGTAATTCGAGTTCGTTGTAAAAATCAGAAATTTGGGGACTGTTTATTCTTAGAAGGTTGATGATACATGCATCTCATCAAAGTAGAGCTAATCCCAGTTGGGTTCATAGGCAATTTCAACACTTAGCAGGTACTTAAAGGGTCGTTTCTTCCGTCTGAAAGAGGAACAGGCCAGAAAGCCCATCACCAACCGTCAAAGCCAGCTTTACAGGACCTTTTGCACCTTGTTCAGCCGTGTAGTGTCCATTATTAAAGCTCATGTCTGTTTTACAAAACGCAGGAGTAACTGAATTTATGCCAAAATTTGGGAATTTTTTAGCTAAAAACCTCGTGTGGGCATTAAGAGCTGCTTTGGAGACAACATAACCAGAGAGAACAGACCAGCCTTTAACAAATCCTCTTTAGCATCCTGTAAATACCGACTCACTACCTCGTCTACTTTCTATTCTGTGAGTCCATCAACATCACTTAATACCTCTCCTGCCCATTCATTTGTAACATTCTGCATAAAAACATTTTGTTATATGTCACCGGCTAAATTTATAGCACAGTGTAACCAGCCTTTGAGGGAAAGTTTTTTACCTCTAGCTGCCCCAACCGGATGAGTCATTAACAATTCTTGCAGAACTAGAGAGCTGAAGAAGTGGAATGAGAGCTTGAGATAGCTGTTTAGGTCCGTAGTAATTTGCAAGCTGTAAAAATTCAATTTTGTTGTAGTGAAATTATGAATATGATGATTGTCATGGCTGTCACCTGTTATCATTGCTATAGCTTTTGGGCTTTTGATTTTAGAAAGAACTTCCTAATATCAAATATGATTAATTCATTTGGAATAGGCATTAATCAGAGTGATCTTATGGTTTTGGAGAGCCATGTTGTATACTCCTTGAGTAAAGAAAAGACAGCTGCTCACTTTTATATTATGCAAAGCACCCAATCAATCAGGGAGGATCTTCAAGTTCCTATTAAAGATATTCTTGAGAGGTTTGTGCTGCTCACTGCCATTCTTTTGTTAAGCACCTGTTTGCTAATTTGTTGTGGCAGGTAAAGGGTGATATACTTTTCATCACATGAGTATGCCTTTTGATGGTAAGGTTCAAATGCCAAAGTAATTTCAATCTTTGTTGATCTGTACCTTTAGTCGTTCAACTAAGGCAGACGGAGATGAAAGTCTCACAGTCCTCATTCCTATAATTTGCACCGAAAGAGGATGCATTCTTTATTTTTTTCAATCTTATTATTGATTCGGTTTCTACCTTGCAAACACAATCTTTCTTTCTTGGGGAATTTTTTTTTGTAGAAACGTTGCAAGGCTGCATACACCTTACCCTCCTTAGTCCCTGCTTTAATGGGAGTTTTGTGCACTGGGTTGCTTTCTTTATCCCACTGCTAATGTGTGTTTGTGTGTGTGTGTTCTGTTTTTTTTTTGGTAAACCCAGGACTTGCAATTATGTCTTCTATGGGTAAAATGCTCTATCATGTTTACTACTGTTCCATGCTGGTGTTGAATTTGTGTAGGTCACAGCACATGACAAAGCCCAGAAATACAAATAAGTTGATATTTTTGTTCCACTAAATTGGAATGGAGCTGTATCTGTTCTATTTGTTGGGTGGAAATTGACTCCCTAATAATTTTTGGGATGTTCATGATAGCAGAAAGAAACTCTTAGTAACAAAACATGATCTTTTTCCAAGTGGAAGGGTTTTGCTTGATTCTCATTGTGAATCCCACACATAACATTCTAATAATTATTAAATTACTCTAATGTTGTCCTAATTTATTAATTGTTATAATTGTCTGCTACTAAATTGTCATAATTGTTATAATTTGCAGAGTATAGAGTATAATGTATCAGAATGATTAATTTTATAATTGTTATAATTTGAAATGTCAATTTTATTGAATTAGTGCTAATGGTGTTGTTTTTTTTTTTTTTCAGATTGCTTTTGTGTGGGCTATTGTGGATATTTATTTTTGTGTACGAAGAGCATTTGTTCTGTATATGGAAGACATCTATTTTTGTATAGTTCTCTATTTTTTTGTATGTAATATTTAATTTATATGGATTATACTTGGTTGGAATGGATTTATATGATATTTGGAATAAGATGTTACAAGTTAAAGTTTTGGATAGTTGATAATGAAATGGATATTATTGATAATGGATTTAAATTATAATTGATAGATGTATTATTCTGTATATGTGCATGTTACAGGTTGCATTGATAATGGAATGCATATAATTTAGAAATTAATGAAAAAGATTCAATTTGTGCATTTAAAAAAAATTAATAAATAGAGTTTTTGGCGACTAAACATTTAGTAGCCAAAAAATAAAAAGAAAACTTATTGGCGACTGAACAGTTAGTAGCTTAAAAAAAAACTTAAAGTTTTTGGCGATTAAAAAATTAGTTGCTAATAGGGGTATCATGATTTTAGCGACTAAAAAATTGGTAGCCAAACAGGAGTGAAGTTTTTAGTGACTAAAAAATTGGTAGCTTAAAGTTGATGAATTTCTTTTTTTTTTGTGACTAAATATTTTCTTTTGGGTGACTAAATTTTTAGTCGTTAATTGGTGACTTTCAGCGACTAAAAAAAATTAGTTGTCAATTCTTTTGCTGACAATCAGTCAACGACCAAACGGGCAATCAAGAATTTTAGTTGGCAAAAATCTTTAGCAACTAAAAAATGACTTTTGGCAACTAAAAATTTAGTTGTTAGTGTAATTTGTTGTAGTGATTTGAAGTACATTAACAAAGCAAGAGAACAAACAAGAGGCAGAAATAGAAAAAATGATAAGCAAAAAAGACAGGTGGTTGAGATGATATACTCACAAATGCACCACCAAGCTTGTCAAGCATCCAATGTTTTGGGGCATTGAGCCTCTTCAAATGCTTCTTCAAACCTCTCGCCTGTAATCCAAGATCAAATGAATTCCAGTAACAACAGAATATTCCAAGATAAACATAATTAAAAATAAATTAATGTCTAATCATGCAGGAAAATAAATCAGGACGATGAATAACTATAATGATAAGAATTTTAACCTCAAGACATTTAATTTTTTTTATATGTTTCCATTTTAAATCTTCTTGAAAAGAATCAGCTGATGAAGTCCAACCATTTTATCTACTCTATACTAGCAAGGCAATAGCAGCTTTACTATGTGTGGTATGTTTAGTTAGCATATATTTCACCTTCTGCTGCTTGGAATAGAGAAAATTCTGTTCAGAAGCAATAATTGAAAAGAAGTACAAAAAGGAGTTAAGCATCAAGTGCATAGTGAATATATTTCTTCTGTCTATTTAAGCTTTATGTTCTAATATCAATAGAAGCTTTAATTAGCATCATACCAAGGCTTTTGATAATGAAAGCAAATAACCGAAGAATTCATTAAAAGTTGCAAAACACAATGTTAGAGACAAAAATAATTGGAGGTAAAGGTCAATGCCAGTGCAACACTCATAGGGTGTATGCTGTAAGGGTAATTTTACAAGTTTAATAAAGGAGAATATAAGCCAAAAATCCTTTTTTTCATTTAGATTGCTTACTCTAAAAATAAACCTTCTTTCATTTAAAAATACAAAAGCAACCTAAATACAATGTTAACTTCAAGATCCTCACCATTATGCTTTAAATTGCTTACATTCACTATTTCTTCATAACAATTGCTATTTCATGTTTGAAGAAACAACAGGGTGGATCAGTGGGAGAACATGCTTGGGAAGAGTGTGGATGTGTTTTGTGGGACCTTGCAGCTAGTAAAACACATGCCGATTTCATGGTTTGTGGTTTTGTGTTACACCTGCTTCATGTTCTTTTTTTATTTCGAACGGATTTGTGCATCACTACATATAAACTTCCAGGAGAGGTTTCTGGTATCTGATCTATTTGTTGAGTTGGCTATTCATGGAATCTGACTTTTATTTGATTTGTTTATGGAAATAATTCTTATAAGACACTAAATCTGAAGAGTCATGCAATTTAAAAAGCAAGATAACAATTGCTAATTTTAAAAATACAGGCCTCGTTTGGCAAGAGGCTATTTTAGCCAATTAGCCAAAAAGTTACTAAATTAGCCAAAAAGCCAATGACCCATACTAAAAAGTCAAAGATTCTCTTTTCTCTCTACTTTTTGCACATCTTTTCGTAATTAGCCAAAAAGTCATCCCAAACATACAAGTTTTTTTTACCTACCTTTTTAGCCAAATAGCCAAAAAGTTACTAAATTAGCCTGTTCCCAAACGAGGCCATGTTAACTTCAAGATCCTCACCATTATGCTTTAAATTGCTTACATTCACTATTTCTTCATAACAATTGCTATTTCATGTTCGAAGAAACTCAAGACAACAAGGCCCTGTCTCAATTGCTTGGCCTCGGCCAAGTGAATCCTAATACCAAGAACTGTTCCATGCAAACTTCAAACTGAGTCAACACCCCTTAACCCAATCGCAGAAACAATTTACTTACACTACATGCTTAAAGAGATTAGGTCATATCCACCAAATGAAGAAGCTTAACACTATCTTCCTTAAGACTTATGAGTTGTATTACTAATACCAATTCTAGAGAGCTGAGACGTGAAATTGTGCAAAGCCTAAATACTCTACCACCATCTCCAACATAATGTGCAGAAACCATCAAAAGAATGTAGTATAATAGCAATTAGAAAGGACACTTTTGAAACCAAAAGAAACCATCAAAAGAATGTAGTATAATGTGCAGAAACCATCAAAAGAATGATGATCTGAGGTTGATTCCACTAGATATGGAGCCCAATAATGGTCAATTGATGCATTGTATTCCTTCAATATTGTATCAAACCAACAATTTAGGACATTTTGAAATCAAACAGTAATTCCTTGACTTTTAGAAATTAATGATAGGTGAGAATTGATATTGTATTGAAGTTTAATTATTATTATTGTTTTTTGACTCACATCGATATTAAAGGTGGTTAAGGACCCCTTTGGGGTCACAGATTTTAGAGTCGGAGCGATTGATGATTCCAGCAAGCAGACCATTGAAGTCCATTGGTTTCTAGTTAATGAGTCCCCAACAAACACAAGCCTCTTATTCCTTAGTCTCTCCAGCATTGCTATGGCATTAAACCTTGTTAACATGTAAAATTTCACAGAAATCCAAAACACAATCATAACATTGTCAGTGTGTGTGTGTGTGTGTGTGTGTGTGTGTGAGAGAAAGAGAGAGAGAGAGAGAGAGAGAGAGAGAAAGAGAGAGAGACCTTGGAAGGTTACATTCATGAGGCTGCCACCTCCAATGCTGGTACTTTAAGTCCATTCGGCCAGACCTCTCGCAAGCCACCCCATTGAACAAGGACATGAATGAGCAATGCTGCTCCTTGTATAAAGGGTAGTTCTTCTCATCATATATCCATTTTCCCGAAAACAAATCGCAGCGCGATAACAAGTACTTGTCAGTGTTTCTCTGAGTCTTTTAATCAAACAACCACCTTCTGCTTTCTTTGGTCATAGCAAAAATGCCAAGGACAAACACCACGGTGAGAAGAACAATTAGAGAACTAATGCTGCATCTGATATTCCATGTTTTGGGAACTATTACTTGGCTTGTGCTTGCCATTTAACATAGCTCTGCCTTGAAGTTTGATATTTTGTGTGGCATTCCATTAAACACAAATTATCAGATGACTAAAATACCCTTAAGCTAGATCCTATTCAACAAAATTTTCATTGGACAATCTCAAGTAATTTTTATCTTTTTGGTGCTCAAAGCCCTTGTAATATTACTCAAAACCCTTGTGCATTTGAATCAAATTTTTTTTTGTTTCCTCAGAAGAGAATGTTAGTATTACAAATGTATAACATGTACGAAGAATTAATTGTTTGTAGATTGAACCTTTATAAGGCTTTTAAGACCGTTTACAACTTAAACTTTTAAGACAACTTAATTGAGAACTAATGTGGGGCTTAGTTCGAATTGGTAGACATGGTGAAAATTTCCCTCATGCTCCAAAATTTGTTCTACAATTGAAACATTGTGCCGCATGATCTCTCACGTCCCTTGCTTCTACTAAGTGCTCTGATATCACTTGTTTTGCAAATATAATAAACAAAAATAATAAAGAAAACATGCAAGAAATGCATAAATTATGATATCCGACTTTCAATTCATCACTCACAACTCTCATGAATCAATTCTCTCTTTATTTTCCCCCTCAATACATATGTATAACATCAGAGAGATCTAATTCATCTTGGATTTGAAGTAGTTAATTCCTACTCTCAATATTATTAAGTTTGGAAAATTTAATAGTTTTGCATTAGTAGATTAGGATGACATGGTGGTTGATTGGTAAAATGCAGTGGCAAATATCTTCACTTTGGTCCTTTTGCGATATCATTTTGTCACTAACTTTCTGTATGACTCATCACAAACATTCTTTGTGACAAGGTTGCAATAATGAACTTGCAATGATTGTTTGCTTGTTACCAATCACATCTAGATGAATTGTAGACTTCATGAATCATGATAATCTTTGTTTGTCAGCGACATCTTCTTTGTTTGAATACTCTTTGTTTCTTTTTTTTTAACATCAAAATTGGAAAAATAAAAAGGAAGGTCTTTTTAATTCTTGAAATGGTCGTTGGATGACATAGTTTTTTTTTTAATCCACAACCCCTCCAATACTTCACCTTGTGCGAGAGAGGGGTGATATTCTCTTCAATCATCCAAACAAGTGGTGAGAAATCTTATTCTCTCAATTTCTTTTCTCACCAAACCCCTTAATCCAAACAAAGAGGAAAAAACCCATATTAAGTCTGTTCAATGAATGTGATTTACATTGATTCTGTGAGGAGACGACGGTGAATGATTTACTTCAAAGCAGAGGTATATGATGCCATTTGGGCAAGGAGTCATGGTATGGAAAATCATTGCATATGCGTCTCGTATTTCGGGATAAAGATAAATTCTAAACATTCAAATTACACTTCAGATCAGTATTTTAAGTGTCCCAAGAATTGAGATAAGTCAGTTACATTTTTTTCTCCATTTTACAAGTTGGAAAGCCAAAAGTCCCAACATTTTAATCCTCATTTGTTTTTTTGTTTCGATTTTGACTATCAAAAATAAAACATGTAAGCATAGAGGAGTTCATTCCAAACATCAGGCACTCCAGGATTGCACCAATTTACACAATCAGCATAGCTACTGGGGTTTGCTAATTGCTGTCTAGTTACACGCCTCCATTGCTTCCTATAAATGGACGTGTGCCCATCTTTCCGGTACTCTGAAAGTCGTGTTATGTTGAGCAACTGAACTTTCAAGCCTCTTCTGCTTAATTCATTGATTGCAGCCTCCACTTTTTGCATCATCTCAGGATCTGATTCACTTCCTTCATATCCCTCTTCCAAAATCGGTTCTTTTTCGTTGTAACAATTTTCATCACTACTTCTGCCCCACTTTTCACCCCTGCAATTCACATTAACGAACAAATTCTTACATGTTACTGCCAAAATTATCTCAAAATTTCAATATGTTATGATTCTTATCAGGAGCTTGGGAAGTTGGCAATATGCAAAACATAATTGTCATTTATTATTGTACGCTATCATTTTAGTTATTTTGTATTCAAATTTCGGTTGAACTATACCTTTCGTGAGTGGGCGAATTGCTAACAAAATATAATTTGGTTCTGGTACGATTTAAATAGATGTCCAAACCATCTAGCCATGTCTTTAAAGCCATCTCATACCCACGTGGCATGTTGACTTCTTTGTAGACTCCATCAAATGATCCCCACCTAATCAATTCCGAGTAATTAAATTGCAGTATAGTTATTCTAAATGAAGAGTTTACTATGTTAGATCAAAAGGGTTCCAAACATGTACTTACAAAGCCTTTAGTTTTGGTTTTCTCCACCAAATGTAGGAATTGAAGACAAGTATATCTGCATCGGTCCAATGCCTGGCGTGATTTTCAATCTCCTGAACTCTCACAATTTGTTTTGATGAAAAATGGTGGTTCATTGGATGATCAGAGCTCGATTCCACTAAAAATGGTGACCAGTAATGCTCAATTGATGCATTGTATTCCTTCATTGCATTCAACCAACACTTTTAGTTTGTTTTGACAAAAAAAGCATCGTCTGTGAAGGAAATTTGGACTTACAGTGATCTTGAAGATCGCTAAGGAGCCACTAGAGTTCACAGATTTGAGGGCCGGAGGAATGAATGACTCCAGCAAACAGACCATTGAAGCCCATTGATTTCTAGTTATCGAATCCCCAACAAACACAAGCCGCTTTCCCCTTAGCCTCTCCAGCATCGCTATGGCATTAAACCTTGTTAACATGTAAAATTTCACAGTACTCAAAAGACATAGCCAAACATAAACCTTATTGTGCCAAGTGTGTTTGTGTGCGCGGACGAGAGAGAGAGAGAGAGAGAGAGCGGACCTTGGAAGGTCACAATCATGAGGCTGCCACCTCCAATGTTGGTAGTTCAAATCTTTTCGCCCGTCCTTCTCACAAGCTACACCATCAAACTGGTACAAGCAATGTTGCTCTCTGTAGAGAGGGTAGGACTTGTTGTCATAAACCCATTTGCCCAAAAACAAGTTGCACTGTGACAGTGATCTACCACGGTTTTTATTCTCCCTCCGATCATGTGACAACTTTTTGCTTTCGCCAGTCATGTAAACAATGCCAAGGACCAAAACTGCTATAAAGACGCAGATCATAGAGTGAATGCTGCATTTGATTCCTCTTGTTTTGGCAACCTTTTGCTGTGTTCTTGCCATTTAAGACACTTTGGTTTGATTTGTTGTTTTGATATGTAGATGAAATAGGAGATGTTGCAATTTGTTCTGTGAATTGACAAAGATACCCTTTTTAAGTTTGAAAGGAACCAATTTAAGATACGCATTACCCATATGAACTTTTTACAGGTCAAATACAAATAATTTTCATTAGTTTTTTGGACTCTTGGATTTAGTTAACCCTTGGATTTAGTTTATTTCTCTGTTTTTGTTTTCCTCTGCAAGTGAAACTAGCGTTAATAGTATGTGTAATGTTTAAACTACTAGAAATAATGAATTAATTGAACCTTAATGTGGCATCTATGTATTTTTTTTTTTGTAATTAATTTTTCTACAACAAGATTTGCATATATATCACTCCATCTATTCCTTAAACCACTATGTTACAAAGAATTAAGTCTACCTTCTCTTTAAATTAAAAGGGCATTTACATCTATTTCTTACTGATCTCCAATTGCATATTTACGGTAATTAATTGCATATTTAAGAATCTTTCAATTCAAGTTGAATAGTTAAAAGAACATTTAAGTTGTGAAGGGTGGTTTGGAATGTTCTAAATAAGTGTAATTTTTGACTTTTTATGAAGTATGGGTTGGATTTGAAGTGAGCTAGTAGAGAGGTGATGTGACTTAAATAAGATATGTGACTTAAATAGAAAAGTGACTTTTTGACTTTTTTAGTATATGCCAAACAAAGCTTATGGTTCAATTAAGTTTTTTAATAATTTAATTAGCAGCATATTCAACTTTAAACAATTAATTCTTCGTATGCGTTACACATGTAATATTACTCAAATATGTAACGCATACGAAGAATTAATTGTTTGTTGGTTGAATATGCTGTCAATTAAATTACTAAAACGACTTAATTGAACCTTAATGAGGCTTTTGAGACAGTTCACAACTTAAATGACCTTTTAACTATTCAACTTGAATTGAATTTAAAGATTCTTAAATATGCAATTAATTACCTGAAATATGCAATTGGAGATCAGTAAGAAATAGATGTAAATGCCCTTTTAAATTAAAAAGAAAGTAGGCCTAATTCTTTGTGACCTAGTGGTTTAAGGAATAGATAGAGTGAAATATATATACAAATCTTGTTGTGGAAAAATTAATTACAAAAAAAAATACATAGATGCCACATTAAGGTTCAATTAATTCATTATTTCTAGTAGTTTAAACACGATTTTCACTTTAATTGTTAAACATACTATTACCACTAGTTCTACTTGAAGAGGAAAACAAAAACAGGGTTACCTTTACAGCAACAAAACTTGGATCAAGTCCCAAAAACTAAGGAAAATTAAATGTATTTGACCTGTAAAAAGTTCATATGTGTCACGCCCCAAGCTCCGTGACAACGCCGCACACTCATTTAAGTGAGCATGTAAGGCTAAGAGTCCAACGCATAACCAACAATGTAAAATACTCCAATTAAATCCTTAATTATCATAATGCTAAAATCCATAAAAATTGATAATTCTTATCAGAAATTGTCCACCAAGTCTACTAATAAAATCCATTAACAAAACAATAATCTAAGTACTTAAATCATAGTCCTAGTCTCGGCACTCCCACAAGTAAAAATCCCGCGTAGCTCTACTCCTCAGAATTTGAAAAAAAAAATTAAGGGTAAGCTAGACAGCCTAGTAAATAACCAACCATCACTACTAGCTGGATCAAGTATACAAAATAAATAGTCGATAACCAATAAATGTAATTTTTGCTACAATTCAATAAATGACAATTATTTGTAAGATGGTTTTATAACTAAAAATATACAACGTACAATACAATTTAATTGTAAAGCCAACAAGATAATTCAAAGTAAATTCGTTGTTCAAATCGATGGTTCGATATTTAGATGGTTCAATGATTTGATTCACAAAACCCAAGTCTTGGTGACTACGGTCACTTAGCCCGTGACAAGGCCCAAAACCACACATAGGCCGGTGGTAAAGCTCCAAAAGAAACTAGTTCTGTGCCAATATATAACCCCCATTGGCTAGGATCCAAATCGTAGTCAGACTAGAGTGATGTTCAAAATTCCAACAATACACAACTTTTAAATAAAATATTCGATATTTTCAAAATAAACCTTTGGTACAATTTTCAAACTAGTTTCACAAAATATTCAAATAATTTTCATAATAATATTCAATGTTATTTTATACTTGACCCATATTTTATTTTAAGAGAACATGAAGGTTATAAATAAATATTTATAATTTTAAACGATTCAATAGGAATAAAAATGAACCAACAGTGATAGAGGGTTACTTACACCAAACGCTTAGAAATAATATTCCAACACCAACTCCAAACACCCAGCTCTACCACTTCAATCACACAAACCTAATAAACAAAACCTCAAATAAATTAATATTTTTACATGTTACATACACCCACAAAAGCCCCACCATATTAGATTAATGTATTGCTTTAATATCCAAGTGATCAAACCATTCAACCCAACTTTATAGCCAAACACACCCTTACCCATGATACAAAACTCTATTGTTTCTATTACTCACCTAAAGTTACACTTACACATTGCACCCAATTCTCAAAACCTAAGTAGGCACCTATAGATCTTCCAAATCTCCTTAATGCATTGATTGTTAAATTCCTCAACATTGAAAAATCTAGAAATCCCCTAGATGTTGATTTGTGATTATGTATCAATTTTAAGCAGAATATAACAATCCCAATCAAACAATCAAACAATCAAGACAAAGAGACACAACAATTTTAATGTGGAAAAAACCACAATTGAACACCTCCAACTGTGATCAAAAACCACGGGCAACAGCCACAAGACAATCCACTAAGAAGAATAAAAGGAATTACACAGGTATACTCTCAATTTGCCTCCAATCCCTATTGCAGCCTCACTTGAACCTCTCTTCTCTTTTTCTTTTCTTTTTTCTTTTACCTTCTCAAACCCTAGCCACCTATGGAGCAATTCCCAGCCTTTGTTTTGTTTGTTGTGTTACAATATGGGTAATGTGTATCTTTAAATCGGTTCCTTTCACATAATTAAATAACAACAAAAATATAGAACATTTTACTTTCTAAAAAACATAACCGTAGTAGAGTTCTCCTAAAACTGGATACATGCGCTCAAAAACATAACCATAGCAGAGTTCTCCTAAAAAGGAAATACATAAAAAAAAACGGATTAGTATTATAACACAGAGATTATAACCCAAATTAGAACAGAAAGGCTTGCACAAATGTAATCTGAGATTTAGCAATGTAACACAGATTATAACACAGATTATAGCACAGATGTAAAGAATTACTAGCACTTTGAGCAGGGCACAACTAGAAACACTAATAGCATTAAACATGTAATCAAAGACTTACATTTGCTGAATCCATAGTAAATGAGATGAGATGAACAACCAACAAGATGAATGATATGAGATGAAATCAAACCGATCATATATGAACAGAGTTATCAAATATGGCTTAAAAAACAGAGCAATCAAACAGATCATACACAAACATAATATTAATCTGAGAGTACAATGCAAAAACAGCAAACAGGTAACAGAAGAAACTCAAATATATACAAATCTGGGGCTGGAAAATCAGCAAACAGGTTACAGAAGAAACCCAAAAAAAGAAAATATAATATATATATATAGAGAGAGAGAGAGGGAGAGGGAGCTAAAGATACCGATCTGAGATGGATGATCGGAGATGGAGGATCTGAGAGTGTCTGAGAAAAAGAAGAGAGAGAGAGTACCGAGAGAGAGAGATGAGAGTGTGAGAGACAGTGAGTGAGTGAATGGCGTGTGATGTTGAAGATCGGAGATGGATGAGAAAGAGGTGAGAAAGACTATTGAGAGAGAGTTGAGCGGACTCACAAAGATTACCGTTAGTGTTGAGACAAGAAGTGATATTGTGTGGGAGGATATATGGTATATATGGTATAGACTAAATGTATACGGTCAGGATCGGTTTCAATCCGGAACTGTGAGGTTTAATAAGGAACTAATCCGTGACTTACGGATTTTTAAAATTTTAATCCAAAACCGAATCACGGATTCAAAAAACCAATTCAATCCTATTGGATTGGACTGAACTGGATCGAATTATTGATTATTCGGATTCCTAGTTCAGCCCTGTAGATGGCACGATATTGTGATGCCCCAAATTTTTTTTTTTTTTTTAAACGTCATAAGATTTAAATAACAATAACTTGCTAGATAAAATTTTAACTACTAGTTAGGAACTTTTAAGTTCTTACAAAGCCAAAGTCCAACGACAAAATAAAACTACAAGTTCACACACAACGTCACAACATAGTTTAATCCTAATACAAGGGATAACAGGATTTTATTATGACAAAATCTTGACTCTAAGTCAGCCAAGGTTCGATATTGGCAGCAGCTCCAATTTCAGCCTCAGTCCCTTCTTCAACATAATCTGGCATGAAACGCCAGGGCAACAAAATATATGCCATGAGTTTTGCAACACAGTAAGAAAACGTAACCAACCTACCATTCTTTTTAAGAGAAAAATAATAATATTCTAAACATGAGATAACAATATAATTATACACAGAAATTACAACCATTAGAATAATTTCAGTAATTTTAATAAATTAGGTGACACTCGAAATCTCACCAAAGAGATTTAACTCACCAAACACTAAGCATGGCAACGGTTAATTTGAAACCCTCCCTTGGTCAAATATTTAAGTGTTACCAACCGTAATTATTTACGGGCAAAGCAAAGAACTTCGTTAAATAAAGAAGTAATAAGCATAGTAATTAAAGACAAACTACATTTTTTTTAATTATTATTACAAAGACAGCTGAACTAAGATGATAATAATCTCAATAACCAATTTTGTGGGTACACATAGGATTTTAAAATATTATACATTTTTTTACACACATTTTTTGTGCAGAATGCCCAATTTTTTAAAAATGTGCTCTTAACACGTTCGTCTTAATAAGAACACGTTAACAAGACCAATAATCAATATTGTTTATTGAACATGAGTTTGGAATACAATTGAGAAAGTCATTTTTTGTTTTTTGGTTTGCAGTGATCTTTGTTCAAATTATGTTAATTTTTTTTTACTTTGTAGATCAGTTTTGTGTAGATGAATGTAAAAAGTAAAAAAAAAAAAAAATTAAATTTAAAAAAGTTTATTAAACACAAAAAAAAGGAAAAATAAACTAAA